GGAAAAGAGACCCATTTATGTCACCTCTGTAAATGCTGGTTTGTTCCAGGTTGCCATGGAAACAGCGTATTGATAGAAAGGAAACAGTCTGCTCGGCAGCGGCCCACCCAGGCCTTCCCAAGAAGCCCAAGTCATTCAAGATACCCAGTCTCAGTAGATGGTTTCCAGGGACAGCAAAACTGAACCACCACGCTCACCTTGATCTTCTGTTAGCATCCGCACCTCTGCTCCTGATTCTAGGAGACTCCATGGTGATGAGCTGACGGTGACTATCTGTCCTGATTCTAGGAGACTCCATGGTGATGAGCTGACGGTGACTATCTGTCCTGATTCTAGGAGACTGCCATGGTGATGAGCTGACGGTGACTATCTGTCCCAGTTTGCCCGGGACTGAGGGATTTCCTGGGATGCAGGTCTTTTGGTGCTAAACCTGGGGCAGGCCTAAGCAAACTGGAACAACTGGTCACCCTACTGGAGACTCGATGACCTTTGCCTCTGCTTCTCCTTCATCTGCTGTAACTGGCTGATGCTCTTGACTGGTTTGGCCAGATGCCATGCAGAGCCCTTGCGTCTGGCCACTTCACTGGCCACCGGGCAGCCTCTAGATGGACCAGGCACACCAACCGATCGTGACCACATCAGCTGTTTCCAAGGTGGCAGGACTGGATGATACTGAATCAAAACCTGGCTATAAAGAACCAGCTGAGACCACATCCTTCAGAAGCGTGCTGTGGACAGGTGGGCATGGCAGGCATTCAGGGTACCAGGGATTCCTTTCCTGTACAATCCTACTTATAAAGGTGAAGTGAATCTTTTCCATTGAGAACAAACCAGTTCATGGTGAAACAACAACTAATACAGCCACTGGAAACGATGGAAACAAGACTATGGTGTGTGCGTGTGCGTGTGTGTGTGTGTGCACGCGTGTCATACAAGCACACACTGTGTAGAATGCTAAGCCAATAAGAAAATTCTGCATCTTAGCTAGACAGAGACTAAGAGAGCTAAGTACCTATGGGATGGTGTTGTCTGGAGAGGGAAGGAGTTGGCTACAGGACTTCCTGAAATCCCTTTGAACTCTAGGGTCCCTTAAAATATCAGGGGCATGTAAATTGGGCCTAAGTGTGTACTTTCTGTCTGAAGTCTCCTAGATAACCTTTGAGTTCAACTCAGATAGTGTTGAATGGGACCCCCCCCCCAGCTCACCCTTACCTTTCCAGACACTGGCTCTATCTGGGATAAGGCAGCGGAACGTGGTGGTGGTAGCAGGGAAGGAGGAGAAGGTTGTGCCAGCCCAGCGTGGGGTGTTCGTGACACATGAGAACCATCTGAAGGCAAATCCCAGGTTCTTTTCAGGTTCGCTAAAGCCAGGCTCTCAGGCTGGCATATGCCATCCTGAAGTTGTTGCTTCTTGCCAAGGGCATCAAGTCTCCACCTCTTCTGCTGGAGCCCTGGAACACGGGCCTTCAGCTAATCACGCTCGTCTTGCGTGGTGTGACCCCAGAAGGTCATCACCGGTCGGGGTGGAGATGGGCACACAAACACCTAGAAGGGACTCTCTCGTTACACACGTGGAGAGGTTAAGACCCGACCTTGTGCACCTGGGTTTTGCCCCTGTTCTGACTCTCCTTGCCTTCACTGCCATTGAAGGAATGCTAGCCAGCTCCTGGGGTGTCATTTTTCTTTTTTAAAAGATGGACTCATTTCAGATGTTTCCTTCATTTATCTCCCACACACGGTCATTGGTTCCAGAAGAAGTCCCACTGCTGTGCCAAAAGCAACAATTTCCTCTTTTTCTCTCTCTTCTTATCTTCTCATCCACGTCAAATCCCAGGTTCCCAGAGCTGGAAGTGGCCTAAAGCATCACTCTTATCTAGATCTACCTCTGGCTAATGCAGGAATCCTGTTTCCCACATCAGATGAGGGATGGTCCAGGCCTGGGGGAGGTCACCCTTTTTGGCAGACTGGGAGAGAACTGGGAGAGAAGGTTGGATGATACTCAGCCTGGTGGGGAAGCAGAATTTTCAAGCGCGGTTCATGGGCTCCCAAGTGTCCACGAATGTCAGTTTCTTCATCAGATGTTGAGCTACGGTGCATCTTATTTCTGGGTCCAGGTGTCTTATGCTGATAAAAAGCACAGAGTCAGAAGACAAGGAGACCTAAGTTTTTGTCTCAGAAAGTCCCCCTTCTTAAGTCCTTCCCTGTACAATGAGGAAGTCAGGCCACACATTCCCCAAAGCCTCTTCTACCTCCGCCGTCCACAATGCCGCCATATTGGATACAATTCATGACTTAAGAGATTTGCTATTTTTTTAAAAAAATTTTATTTTATATTGGAGCATAGTTGATTAACGATGTTGTCTTAGTTAATTCGGTTGCACATATACATGTATCTATTCTTCAACGTGATTCACTTATACATATACATGTATCTGTTCTTTTTCAAATTCTTTTCCCATTTAGGTTATTACAGAATATTGGGCAGAGTTCCCTGTGCTATACAGTAGGTAAGATTTGCTTTTTTTTTTTTTTCCTCTCTGGCTCTAGTCCTGCCTTAACTTCAGCTTGCTCCAAGATCATGTATAAATCACTCAAGCCTTTTCTCCGGCTCTCAGTTTTCTCATCAATAAAATGGGAGAGGGGACGGTGGAGTGGGTGGCCTTGACGATCCTCCAAGGTCCCTCCCATGTGTCAAGTTCTAAGCCTCGCCTGACGCAGCTGACGTCTGACAAGTAGCTCTCTGAGCCTTTGCCTTTGGCTGCACAGGCCCAAAACGGGGCTGTCCTGGGAAGTCCATGACCAAAGACTACTTCCTGGCTGCTTGCCCTCGTTGTCAGCTCTACGGAACAAGAGTTTGTCGAGGGAGAAGGCAAACAGACACACAGACTGATGACAGGAGAGGGGAAGCGGGGCTGCTGTTTACCTGGGGGTGACTGGGAGGGGGAAAAAAACCCACCTGCCGTTTTGACCAATAAATAAAAACTGGGAGCTCTGCGTGGCTAAAACTGTAGGGGATTTATTAGTTTGCTTAGTGAAAGGCAAATATTAAGTCTTAAGCTGACCTGTCCTGGGACCTCCCTTTTGGCTTTTGTGTGCTGTCCGGCGCTGATCACCGTGTACTCTAGGTTATCAGGTTCTGTCGAAGGGTTTTTTTTTTTTTTAATTGTTTTCCGTCTCTTTCTCCTTTCCTTCCTCCTTTGCCTGCCCCCCACTCCCACCTTCTAGGTAAGGGTAGCTCAGGCCTGGGTTTTGGAGAGGCGGGGAGAGCGCAATGTGGAAGGCTTGTTGTCCTGGATGTGAAGCTGCCTGTGTTCAGGACTCCGGTTGCCCTGGGGGTTACCCATGACCACGGTGCGGTGGCTCAGGGCTGCAAGCCCACCAGGTGGTCCTTGGGCGTCTCCTCCATCCTTGAGCTCTTCAAAAGTTAGCCGTGGGCTTCCCTGGTGGCGCAGTGGTTGAGAGTCCGCCTGCCGATGCAGGGGATGCGGATTCGTGCCCCGGTCCGGGAAGATCCCACATGCCACGGAGCGGCTGGGCCCGTGAGCCATGGCCGCTGAGCCTGCGCGTCCGGAGCCTGTGCTCCGCAACGGGAGAGGCCGCAGCAGTGAGAGGCCCGCGTACCGCAAAAAAAAAAAAAGTTAGCCGTGAGCTCTTCAAAAAGTTAGGTCTTGCCCCTCATTAAACTTAAAATGAGCATCATCACAGCCGTTGGAAAAAAGGTACAGATCTCCCGTTTCTAAGTGGTTTCGCGGTGACAGATGGTCTCAGCCTGATGTGCTGAAAGATGAACTGATCAGGCTTGTCGCTCCCCATGTGAGACAGGCTGGGACCTGGGACCTGGGACCCTCTGCTGCAGGGCTGGCACCTGGACAGACGACTCCTGAGCAACAAGGTACAAAGAAACTATAAGGGACTAAAAATAACTGCGTGCCTGCGCAGTCGGGGCAAGTTCTGGACAACAAGACACAAAGAGACCAAAAACCCAACTGCCTGTTTCTGAAGAGCGAAAAACAGGGTGTCAGGAGCAAAAGCAGGACACTACGCTTGCCCCCTGCACACAGCACCTCCAAAGGGGTGGGCAGGCCACCTAAGCCACCACTCCGGCCCCACCCCTGGACACGCCCCTACCCTCACCCCATAAAGGGACCAAGTTCACCCTCCCCCTCAGGGAACAATCAAGGGGACCTGCTACTTGTTTTTGCTCCCCACTGCTGCAGCGGGGGCCCCAATAGAGCCTTGCCTGAATTTCTTGTCTGGCCTCTGATCAATTTCTGTCGATTGGGGAAGGCCAAGAACCCTGGTCGGGACCACGTGGAGTGAGATAGCCAGACCTCCAGGGGCTAGACAGCCACCCAGTCTATCCAGTTTCCACGTGTGAGCTGCAGTGAAACTGAACTAGATGGCGCGTTCTTTACCCTTTGCCGTAAACGTCTTCAGTCTGTTCTAAAGCGCTGCAGTTCCAGGGTACTCGGGTCTCCTGGGCGGTGTTCGCTAATACCCACCCACTGTGGGGTACAGCACACCGAGGTACGTTGCTCCACGTCAGACCTCGATGCCCAGGCCGCCCTGGTCACCATCTGTGGAGAAGGCGTCTTACCAGCCCACCCGGATATGACGGGCAGTTCCCCACCACTGCTCATGCGGTCAAGAGATGGGAATGTTCTGGAATTGCTTAATTGAGAAAGTCCCTTTCACACTCCAGTGGTGGTTTTTGATTGAACTGAGCATGAGTGTTAATCCTCTGGCAATCCTTCCTGGGTGAGTCTGTGCTTTAAAAGATCTGTGTTGGGGGCTTCCCTGGTGGCGCAGTGGTTGAGAGTCCGCCTGCCAATGCAGGGGACACGGGTTTGTGCCCCGGTCCGGGAAGATCCCACATGCCACGGAGCGGCTGGGCCCGTGAGCCACGGCCGCTGAGCCTGCGCGTCCGGAGCCTGTGCTCCGCAACGGGAGAGGCCACAACAGTGAGAGGCCCGCGTACTGCAAAAAAAAAAAAAAAAAGATCTGTGTTGGGCCACCAGGCTACTGAAGTGCTGTTAATCCTTCAAGGCTCATTTCAAACGCTCCCTGCTCCAGGACGCCTTCTTGGGTTGCTTCTTCCCTCTCAACCAGTTGTGACCTCTCCCTCGGTCACATATTCTCTTCAGGCATCTGGCACTGGCTAGGTACCCCAAAACGCCGTTCCCTCCTTCCTCACCAGAACACCTTCTATATGTCATTTACTATGCTTATACCGAACTTGTTTTAAACTTGTTTCTCCCAACATTCCTCTGTCTGTCTGTCTCTCTGTCATAAAAGCAGGAACAGGGTCACTCCGTACACTTTGAAATTGATCCCTAAAATGTCCAATAATGTTCAGCATCACGTGGCAGGCACTGTGATTGACATTTCATCCTCAGAAATTAGAGATGTGCAGAATCCATGGCTTTGCTCAAGTCTTATATATGAGAGCTGGGATTCATGCCAAGGTCATTGGACGCCTGAAGTTCAGAGCTCTTAAGTTGTATCATAGTGGCTTTTACCTGGTAGGTATACAAGGAAGATGTTGAGTTGACTTTCTCTATTAGTGAGCTGTTACTGTGTATACCACTAAGGTTGCCTGTTTTTTGTCTGCCTATTAATAAAGTGTTTTCTGAACAGCAGAGAAAATGTGTTTGTTCCTTGACTGGTTGCTTTCCCTGCAGAATCTCTTCTTGAAATAGAATATGACTGGTTTTTGCCAGTTATCTGAGAGTTAGGGTGATTTTTAAGGTAGGAAAGAGAAATTTAAAATCAAAAGTTTAGGTCAGAATTTCTAAGGAATGTCACACTGTCTAAGAGGGAGAAATACAGAAGAAAAACACAACACATATGAGAGGTCTTTTGCCTTCGGGACCTTACAGTCTGGTCAGACAAGAATGGCACACATAAAATCACCAATCGCATTTGCCAAATAAACTCACGGTGAGTATTACTGGGGAACCTGGGTGGATAATGCTGCCTGCTCTTCACCCTGTCATGAACGTTTCCAGCAAGTCGCAGAGAAGTTGGATATGATGAGCAGGTCCCCTGCTAATGGGGAGGGACCTCCTGGGTTCCAGGGCTTACGACTGGGGGACAGAAGCCAAGGTGGAAGAGGCACCATTTGAGAGCAAGCGGACCCAGGGAGAGAAGAGTCTGTTCCCATTTGCTATCTGATTAACCAACCCTTCTGTGGGGGGGGAGAGCAGAAAGGTAGGCAGAAGTTTCACCTTTTGGGGGAAGAGAAGAACTCAAAGACCACCCCCTCTTCTTTGTCCAAATGAGTAAAATTAGAATTTGGACAAAGTGGGTGTCATCTGTGGGCTCTGGTCGCCAAGACCAATTTCAGACATTCAAGAGATGTCTTGGCCAAGACACTTGGCCAAGAAAAATCAGGCAGTTCAGGAAAGACTACAGCCCAACGTCTTACAGCGCTTTACGGTTTAAAAGCTCCTGCCAAAGCTTCTGATTGGAATCACAGCAACTTTGTGAGATGGTATTAAGACCTCTTTGTTATAGGTGAGGAAAGTAAGGTGAGGGAGGTTCAGTGACTTGCCCTAGAGCACACCCCATAAGGCCCCTGCCCTAAGGGCAGTGTTACAGTTTCTCTGTGCAAGCTGTATTAGTCACTGTAGGCTACTGTGTAACAAAATAGCCCCAAATCTCTGTTGTTTTACCTAATGCCTCTTTCTCATTCATTTTCCAGGGGGATGTGAGTTGGCTGTGGTGGAAACACGCTGCTCTTCTTCATGCAGATATTCAGAGACTCAGGGTCCTGTCTTAGGACATCACCAGACCTCTAGCAGTGACACCTCCAGGGAGTAACTTAACCTCATCTTTAAACTGCTTCGTAAGGTGGTTGCAAGGTTTAGATGAGTTACTGCAGGTGTGGCACTTAGAACAGTGCTAGGGACGCGGCACTTGATAAACGTGGGCTCTTAGCTCTACGCTCTGAACGTGGAACGGTATGGACTCATCTGCCGTGACTCTGGGCTCACGTGATTTCTGTGCCTGGGTAGTAGGAGACCTCACATGTGAACTCCGCCACTACACCTACGTTTCCCCAGTGTGAACAAGGCATCACTGAATCTCCCCAGCTGTGGGGAGCCCTTTTGGTTGTTTGGTTTGGTTTTGGGGCTAGAGCTGGGTTGCCAGCCCAGAGTGTATAGGATGATGCCTGGACACTAGCCCTCGGAACAGTGATTCTCCTTCTTGGGGACCCTCAGCACCTCATCAGCTGCATCTGACTCTAATACCAGTCAGGTTTTTTCTCCCCAAGTCCAGGTTCTCTCCGGAACTTTTCAGTTGCCTCGACTGACTGAGAAAGCCCTACAGAATACTCAGTCAGACGTACACATTGGGTTCTTGAAGCCCTTCCCGTTGCCTCCTCTACCCGGGCAGAGAAGGGAGCTGATCTCACAAGCCAGGCAGCCTTCTCGCCATTTCCACACCTAGATTTCAAATCACACCCTTCTTCTCCACTGCAGGCCAACAAGCTCCTCTCTCAGTCCCCGGCCGGGTGTGGGTTCTTGTAGCTGTGAGACCTCAGTCGCTCAGGACTCTGGCAGCCGCTCGTCTGTTCTGTCTTCAGCTCTCCTGGCACCGCCGGAGAATGGAAAAGCTGGTCTGTTTACAGGACATAGGGCCAGAACAGCATTAAAAACTAAGGAACAAATAAGATGTGGTAAACAAATTTCCTTTCCAGTAAGGAGTGTTCCTAGCCCGGTCCTTCAACAGGAACCATTTTCCTCATGTGTTTGGATAAACGTTCATTCTGGGCAATTACCATTCCCAGGAGGGGCTGCCTATTTCCGTTGGCTATTTATTTTGACTTTGACCGTTTCTCCCCCTTCTGAGCACCACACACCTAATAGTAAAGAAACTCTGCTCCCTCTCGGGGCACTGGGAGCAACCCCCCAAGCCTGCCTTCTCTCGTCTCTTCCATCACCCCTTCACTTCCAGACAAGGCAAGGACATGGCGGGCATCTTGCCCTGGATGGCAGCTGTTCTCCGGGGAGAAGGAAGGAGGGAAGGAGGTGAAGCAGAGGAGAGAAATGGTTTCAAAGAAAAGCTGGAACAGATACAAAGGTTTATGTGTGGGTGACCGTCTCTCTGAGAAAGCTCTTCAGCATGAATCCCCCTTGTGGGTTTTCGTGGGAGCAGAAAGCCATTGATCTCAGGTTTCCTGACCCCAGCAGGTAGCTTATTGTAAAGCAGTTCATCCAGAGGGGAAAAAATACCTTGTTTCAGCATTTTAATTTTTTTTCCAGGGCTCTGAACCAGACTTGTAAGAAAGGAGATAGAGAGGATTAACTTATTCTTTCCTAGCTCAGAAATAGATGTAACTGGCGGAAAAAAAAAAAAAAAAAAGAACCAAGCAACTTGGAACAATGATGATTCTTGTTTACTTGTTTAGAAATGCATTGTTATGAAGGGCCCCTATTTGCATATTTTAATTCCCCCCCCCCCTCCTCATTCCCCCCTGCCCTGTTTTCCTTCTGTGCTGGGACAGAGGAAAGGAAGGCACACGCTAAGCGGACAGTGGTCAGTGTGGGTAACACATTCTGCGTAAGTTCACTTCACTTTCTAAATTCCTTGCCTTTGCCCGGTTGGATGAATTGGTGTTCTTGACGGTGCTGAATTCGGAGAGGCCCTGAGAAGCGGAGCGGCGCTGACTCACGGACAAGACACGGGCTGGCTCTGGCTTTGGAGTCCTTAAGGCTGGACTCAGGGCGGCACCAGGAAGGGGCGGGGCGGGGGGGGAGGGTGCGCTCTGCCACCCCCCACAGCTTCCCCTTGAGCCCCAGCCTGCAAATGGCCTTCCCAACTGCCACTCCCAAACCTTCTCCCAGAGACATCCCAGAGCTGTCACAGGGTCACTTGTCCTGGGCTTTACCTGGGTCACGAGTTGGTGACGTGGTGAAGGGCGAAGCGAGACCCTTCGCCCCTTGGAGGATGTTGGAGACACTTTCCTCCTTGGAGGACGTGGGCTTTCTCACGGCCCTGCCTTCTGAGGGCTGAAGGGTCCTTATTCCAGGGGGTGTGAGACCCTCATTAATAAAACCTGGTTGGCGTGGGGATAATCCTGTTCGTGTGTGTTAATGAGTGACGTGCACAGAACCACGTGCTGAGCCTCGATCCCAAAACGTGCTGCTGGCTCTGTTCCTGGTGGGGATGGGCCTTGGGTAGAACTTCTCCAGAGCACAGGAGGAGGTATGTCTGAAGGTCCACCCCAGCCTGGTGCCCAGGCCCCTTTGAGAGCAATGGGAGTTTCTAACTTAATAAAAATCAGTATTCAACAATCCGATGCGATGAGAGACTGCGGTCCCTGTTCGTGGACCTCGGTTTGGGGAATGCTGAGGTTCAGGTGGATCAATTAAGCCACCCAACCTCCCTCGGCAAGTTGATGGTGGGCATTGATGCGTCGGGCCTCTGGTCCCCACCTGGAATAGAGCTCCCTGGATGCCTAGAGGGTGGTACCTGCAGGGAGCGGAGGCCAGAGGAGGTATCCGGAAAGCCTAGGAGGGAGGAAGGATCCAGTCCAGGCAAAGTGCTGTAGACGCAAAATCCATTCATGGTAGCTTCATGCCTGCCGTCAGGGTTGGGCGCTCCAGGGTCAAGAATGCTTTGAGTAAGAGGCACTGGGGGTGGACCAGCCCTCCCCCGGGGACGCTGGGCTCTCCAGGGTGGGGAAGACTTCATCCGGGCTGCATCCCATTCTCGGTTCCGCTCTATTTAGAACACTTTTTTTTTGGTGGAAAGCAGATTGCTGAGGAGGAGAGCGCCCAGCCAGGCGGGGAGGTAGCTTCCAGAATTGGGGCTGGAGGGAGGGAGAGGCAGAGGCGAAGACTCGCAGCAGGATGTACCCGCCAGTAACCTTCTCACCTCTCTTCATCTCGTCCCCGTCCATCACTTTCCCCCTCCAGCCCAGCAGCCCATCTCTGGGCAGAGCTTACGGAGGCAAGGTAGCAGCACCTGGAACTGTCTTCCGTCTTGCAAAGTGACACAGGCAACCGACATTTAAAAATTCGCGAGTCCAACAGAGAGCCCTTTTGCAGCAAATACCCGCTTTGGTGATGTGTGCCGCCCGTGGACTCGTGACACAGCAGGCCAGGCTGCGTGGGTGCAGAATGACCTCGGATGCGATTCTCTTCTGGAAACAGGGGCAGCCTGGACCAAAGGTGGTTCCTGTGGAGGCGCTCGCCAGCAAAGATGGCACAGGAGGTGTTTGACGCTTTGCTTACAGGACTTGGATAACCCTCCCCCTCCCCTAGCAAAGGGACAGCTGTGCTAAATACAGGAGACTTGGTGGGCAGAGAGAAAGTTGTGGGTGGCCAAAGGATTTCTGTGTCTTTAAAAACCCTCTCCCATCCCTGGCCCTCGCATCAGTCTTTGTCTTGCAGGAGAAACTTGGTGTCTGAGAAGTGACTCCCACGGGCCCCCCTGCAGCTCCCTTTGGACCTGAGTGACACAGCTGGCTCTGCCCATTGGACTCCAGTTGGCATCCCTGATGTCCTTTCTCTGCAGAATTCTTCTGTGAAATGGGCCAGAGTCACTCACCTTCCCGGCCAAGGCAACTTTGAGACCAATGGCAACAGTTTTTCGAGAACTTTGGAAGCAGTAGGGTTGTGTACCCACTTGCTAACAGGCTAAATCTTAGGGTCTCCCTAACCCACAGGATTCTGGACGTGTGGATCTGGAGGCCAGGGGGTGGCTTCCTGCTGGCGCACAGCATTAATGACCAGCGAATGTTCAAATGCATGACACGCTACATCCCTTTCCTGCTGGCCAGCTGCCTGGTCCTTCTGAGGCCTTCCAGGAGCCCGTAGGTGACTTTCAAACTCAGCTGTGCTCCTGATTTGAAACCACTGGTTCTCAACCAAGGGTGGTTTTGTCCCCCTACCCAGCACCCCAGGGGCCATTTGCAGAGTCTGGAGATATTTTCGGTTGAGGGGAGGGTACTATAAGCATCTAGTGGTAGAGAGCCAGGATGCTGCTAAACGTCCTACAATGCACAGGACAGGCCCCCACTGCAAAGGATTATCTAGCCCCAAATGTCTGCAGCGTCAGGATTGAGAAACTGTGCTTTTTTTCAACCTCTGCTGCCAGGTTGAAACAAGCATGAACCCTCATCACCCCCCTGCCCTCTCCCCATTGCTTTATTTATCAAAGGGAGAAAAAAAATCTGTTATTTTTTCCAAGTGCATTTCCCCCTGTATCTTATCAAGAACCACCAAGTTCAGCACACCCTTGATTAGTCACTTCCATTAACAGTGTTTATTTTGGGGTTTGTGTTTATTTTTGAAACGTGGTCACCCTCGTCCCCCCTCTCTTCCTTACGCACTAGTGGTGTGCGGCCAGCTTTCTAGCACGGTCTGGTCCACATTTTCCTCCATCCATAAACCCACTGGGCCAGCTTCTGAGGAGGGAGGGCCAGCCTCTCCTCCCTCCACTGGGGGTTGGGGGAAGGCTGCCACTCCTGGAGTTTCTCTTAAAGTGGCAATGGGGCAATTGTCGTCTTCCCTCTGATTTCTCAGATACGCTTGAAAATCCTTTTCATTAGTGACTCTGTGGACCAACCGACCCGTGACAGAGCTGAGCCTTTACTCCCAGCCGTCCGCGTTCCGTGAAACCGAGGACGCGCGGTGGTTTTCTCCACTGAGTCAGAGGCAAGGACTTGTGGGTCTCTCCCGCTTCTCTCCACCCATCCCTCCTCACTGCAGGCGAGTCTCTGGGTTATATTTAAGCGTTTCTGAGTCATCGAGAGCCGATTCCTTCTCCTCTCGGCCACCCACCCTCCACCCTCCCAAATGGCAGTGGGAATTCAGGGTTTATGGCTGAGTTACCCCGGAGCTCAGAGGGGATCTCTGCACAGCTTTGGGGGGCGTCTTCCTCTTTGATCACCCGCTGCCCACCATCCCTGCCGCTCCTCCCGGGGTTCCAGCAGCCACCACCTCCCCAGGAGGCACGTACAGAGCCCCTCAGCCCATGAAGTCCCTCCCCGATTTGGGGGGCGGGTCTCATTGCTAGTCTTGGACATAAGCACCCACGCACCCAATGGCTGCAGCGAAACCCCCGCCCAAGGCTGCTCTGAGGCAGGCAATCTGCACAGAAGGCCCAGGTACCCTCCCCCTCCCCCCTTACTCCTTCCTGGGACATTTATTTGAATCCCACCGGGGAACTGGTTACTGTGGAATATTTATTTGTTTAAACATGGGTGGTTCCTACAGAGGAGGGTGTCAGGTTTCAAGGGTGGAGGAACAGTTGCAAACAGAGAGTGGGTGGTCTGGACATGAAGCAGGCCGGGGTGGGGGTCAGAGAACCCAGGCCTTTTTAGGTTTGTAGGTGAAAATGCTGAGTGACTATTGCCTCATTCTTGGCCCTTTTATCATGTTATGTAAGACAGAGTGACTTGGTGTGGTTGGGTGGTGTTCAGACTCTGGGACAGCCTTTTGGTAGATTGTTGAAAAGAGTATTTGGAAATCACTGGGCAATGACTGGGCAATCACTCTGATTAATTTATCCTGAGGGCTTTGATGACTGTCTGAGTGCCTGGGGAGGATCGGAAGGGTGCAGGCTGGTTCTAACTGCAGCCCCACCTCTAAGATTCTGAAAGATTCTTAAGGGCTAGTGCACTATTGGAATAGCAGAGCCTCTTTCCTAAAACCGCTTGAGTTGTTGACTAGAATGAATGGTCCTGCCTTGTGTCCTGGGGCCAGCCTCCTTTCCGGGTTAAACTAGCAGAAACATATCTCTGATAAGTTTTGGGGTTCACATCAGCCCTGAATGACAGAGTTTGGAGTTTTGTATTTGGCAGGTAACGGTCCAAGTAAACCCAAGATGGAGGGGAAACCAGAGGTATAGTTGAGATCACTGCTCTCCGGTCCATGGTTTTCCAAAACCTGGAAGTAGCAGCAATATAGTGTGTTGTCCTTAAGCCTCTTCCACAGCTTCTCAGCTACAGAATTGGAAAGTGCAGAGGAAGGCTATTAGTTTCCACAGATGCACTGCTGAAAAGATCCAGTGTTTTGCCAGGAGATGCTTTTTGGAGGGAAAGCACCAGGGGAGGTTCTGGAGCATGCAGTGACTAACAGAGTTAAATACAAGAGATCCGGTAGAGATAATAGTGAGTGACTGTCTTCTAACGTCCTACCAAGGGGAAAAGGAGATGGGATTCATGGAGCAATGTGGAAGTAGGTCAAACATCAGAAATCATCTCGTAATACTGAAAGTGATAGTGCCGAGAGGGGCTGAAGTATCCCTTTTTTAAAATTAGGAAGGAGAGGAATGCTTTTTACCAAGTCTTAAGTACTGTTCTTTCTGGACAGAGAAAAAGACTGTCCCTAGATGAATAGCTTCATCAAGGAAACCTTGTTAAAAATTAGCGATGTCACGTACATGCTGAAATATTTAGGGCTGAAGGGGCCTGCTGTCTGCATTTTACCTTGACATATGTTTAAAAAGTAAGATGGGTCGATGGACGGATAAATGCATAGATGTGTGATGAAACATAGTGGCATCTTGACGTCACAGAGTCTAGGTGGGTATGCAGGTATAACATTTCTATGTGTTTGGACGTTTTCAAATAAAATATTGGAGGAAAGTACCAAGCCCTGGGCCACCCATGGTAATTCAGATTCAGTGAGTTGGTGATGAGGTCTAGGAATGTTCTGAGCTTTGCAAGGGATTCTGATGAGTCAAGTCTGTTGGGGCCCATGTGGAATAGGTTGGTTTTCCTCAAACTTGGATACGCACAGGAAACCCCTGGAGATTCTGTCAAATGCAGGGTCTGATCCAGCAGGTCTGGAGTGGGGCCTGAGTCTACATTTCTCACAAGCTCCCAGGTGATGCTGAGGCTGCCCGTGCCTGGACCATACCCTGGGCAAGAAGGAAGAGAGAACTCTTCCGTGTTCTCTGCATCTGAGAAGTCCAGTGGGTCTCAGCTTGGGTTTCACATTGGAATCATCTGGGTAGCTTTAAAATAAACTGGATGGCTGGGAGTGCGGGGGTCTCACCCCCAGAGATTCTGGTTAATTGGCCCGGGCTGCAGCATGGGCAATGAGATTGAAGACCCCTCAGATGATTCTAATGTGCAAGCGCTGATTTCATGTCAGGAAGGGAATCGATGGAATATTAAATCTCAGGAAATGAACTTTTGCACAGAAAGACGCTGCGGACCCTCGTCACCCACGTGTGCAGAGGTTTCCAGCCACGAAAGACTCAAAGCCACTCACCTCCTTTCCCTCATGATGAGAATGACTGACAGCCAGCACTGATTGAGTGTCAGGCGATTTTTGTTAGTCCGTTTCATCATCACAGTACCCCATGAGGCAGGCGTTAGTATCCTATCTTAGAGATGGGGAAATTGAGCTTGGTTGAGTTCAGTGACTGGCCCAAGGTAACACAGCTAATAAATAAGACTTGGGCGGAGGTATGAACTAGGTCCGCCTGACTTCAAAGGCCATGCTTTTTAACTATCATATTACTCTGTTGTCCGCACGATCTTTGCCAAGAAATTAGAAAACTATAGCCCGTGGGCAGGTCGAGTCTGGCCAGCTGCCTGTTTTTATAAATAAAGTTTTATTGGAACACAGCCCCGCCTCTTCATCTATGTCTTGTCTGCATCTGCTTTCGTGCTATAATGGCAGAGTTGAGCATTTGCAGCAGAGACCCTGGGGCCTGCAAAGCCGAAAATATTTATCTCTGGCCCCTGACAGAAAAGAGTTGGGTGACCCTCGATGGATTGGTGAGACAGCTAGCACAGAGCCGGGGAGCAATCCTCGGCTGTGCTCCGAGCAGAAGGAATAACCCATGGAGAATGAACTTGAACTCACGGTCCCTGTAGCTCTGGTTTCTGCTGACGTTTTACTTCGATCTCGTGGCCTGCGTTCTACTCCAAAAGGGTTACAACTTGCTTCCTTGGAACAGATTTTATTTTCACGCCAAAAGTTTTGATCTGTTTTAAGAGCAAAAGGTCTTGCTCCCGAAGCCAGGGCTGTCACAGGGCTCCCTGCAGAGTGGGGCAAGGGAGACCAGCTGCCTGCCACCTTCTGTGGCAGCACGGTGGGAGGCTTGCGTGGAAAAGCCTGGAGCCCTGTGGCTCCTTGGAGGCAGCAAGAGGCTTCCGTCCCTTCCCACCAGCCATCCACCAAGAAACCCTGTCAAGAGGTCAGGAGGGAAGAGAGAGGGAGGAAATGCCAATCAATCCATCAAAGCCCCACCCTCCTGCGCTTCCAGCCGGTTAGCCGGGCCTGAGCATCCTTGGGGGCGGGGTGGGGGGGTGGCGGGGTGCAGGCGCATGGAGGGGAAGTGCATTTGGTAATGATTCTAGATTTCCTGTTTGGTTCCTGGGGTGGGGTGGGGGGGAGCTGGGCTATGCTAGCTCCTAGTCTATGTGGACTCTTGCACGTTGCGTTCTTTCTTTTCTACCGGTTGTTGTTTCTTTGTTTTTTCTCTTTACTACTTTTCTTCCTCTGAGGTTTGTTTGCATTTTTTTGTTGTTAATTGGTGTGAGGAGGGCCTCCTTCAGGAAAATTGGTGGAAAAGGAGAGGTGAGGGGCAAGGAGAGGCCAGGATACCCTGCCTGGATTCCTGGGGCATTGGCCTGGGTACCATAGAAATTTTGTCCCCCCTGGACAGACGTAGTAGGAGAGCTGTAAAGAATCTGTTTAGGTAGACAAACGTTATGCAGTGCTTACTGCGTGCATGGGATACAAAGGCACACAAAAAAGGCCCATCTTCTGCTGTAAGAGGTCAAAGATGAGAGAGAGAGAGTTCAAAGCAGCTTGATAAACTCAATGGAAGAAGTAGGTAGGATGGAGATGGGTGTATGGGGAGGGGCTCAGGAATCCTTTAGCTCAGTTTTCTCTTCCAAACAAGACTGAGCCTTAGTCTCGGAGATGCGAGGGGCACCTCTCACCAAATGACAGTCAGAGCTAATAAGACCAGACATCACTGCGAAGTCCCCGGCACAACTGCCTGGTGTTACCGGGCAGGTGGACCGTTTGCTGCTCCCTTGGATACAAGCCTTAGGCCGGGAGCTCTGGGGCTGGAATCCTGCGGCTGCTTTGGCCTCGGGGAGGCTGAGGCTCCGGGTAGCACAGAGGTGATCTGCCTTCTTTTCATTACATAAGGACTTTGATCCCTCCAACGAGCAGAAAAGAGAGTTCTCCCTTTTCAGCACCTTCTAATATCCTCCCCGCTGGCTGTGCTGGCCCTGCTGTCACCTCACCTTGAAGGAGAAAGGATGTGTTCCCAGCTGGGCCCTTTCTCTTCCCGGTTTGAACTGGGAGTGAGCGAAGCTCAGGAAACAGATTGTAGCCACAGGGCTCCGGCTGCACCTGAGCGCATCAGGGGGACGGGAGGGGAGGTGGAGAGACACGGGGTCCTCGGTGCCACACGCTTCGCCCAGCTGACCTTTGCTGTCGGAGCTCCAGGCTGAGGGTTCGTTGTGGTGGAGCCAGGGATGATGGCCCAGCAGCTATAGGACTGCAACTTGGCCTGCCCTACGGCACTCCATCCCTTCTTAAAACCCCTTACAGGGCCAAGCTGCCTGCACCAGTCAGCTGTGCCTCTGGGTTTTCAAGATGGACGTGGGCCGGGAGGGGATGGGGACCACTTTGTCATTCCCGCCCTTTCTCTCCTATCCCCTTTTACGCATTGTTCCGAGAGCTAAGTGGTAAAAAAAAAAAAAAAAAGCCTTGGGCAAGATGACATGATATTGGTGCTTTCGATTAGTGTGTGAACTCTCCACCTGGAGTTTCTTTCAGAGTTGCTAAAACCTGGCGGTCTATGAACTCTCTGAACTGAGGTGAGGGCAGAAAATTAAACAGGGTGCGCGTGTGATGAAAAGCTAACGCCAGCTCAGAACTCCCATCCGGGCTGAGCACACCCGGGGAGCCTTTTGAAAACCGCCACTCCTGACAGCAGTTCTCCAGACAAATGGCTGGCAGTGGCGGCTGTGTGCTCGACTTCCTCCCCAGAAAGAGGACAGCAATGCTGGGTGCAAAAGAATCTTCTAGAAATGCTGCAGGGTTGACCCAGAAATGAAAGGATCTCAGTAAGGAAATGGACTGCTCGTCGCTTTCTAATCCATCGCTTAGTTTCTCTGAATTTTCCATCTACAGAGTCCCATTCGTGGTCCCAACCTTGCAGAGAGAAGAATGCTACATTTTATCATTTTACCAGGTAAATATTCTTTTTGAGATGTGAATAATTACCTCCCAGTTTATCTCTTTGGAAAATGCACATGCATGTATGTACACATGTGTGTATGTGTGTGTATATATATATGCATACTTTTGTGTACATATATACAACGTATAAAGAATTTTACAAGGGAGCAAAGGCCCTACGTACAATAGTAGCTGGACCTCCAAGACGTACACCCTGTGCCTGGAAGGGTGACCAACATGTCTCAGTTTGCCGGGGACTGTCCTGATTTTAAAACCGGAAGTTCCGCATCCCCAGAGCCCCCGGGACTGGGGCAAATTGGGAAGGCTGGTTGCAGCAGAGCCCTGTGAAGTCCACCGTCTCAAATCCTCACGACGATGCTGTGAATGAGATGGTGTTTTTGCAGGGAAGGAAAGTGAGCTGGAGATGTTGACGGAGCCGCCCAGGTTCACTCCCTGAGTCTGGGACTGAGGCGAGTCTTGCACCTGGGTCCACCATCGCCGCCATGCATTTCATGTAGGAGCACCTTGGACGGTGCAAATACACAGGGAGAGCTCTGCGGAAGGTCAGGATGAGGGACAGTGGTTTCTGGGGTTGGAACTAATCAGCCTTCAAAAGGGAGGGAGGGGCCAGGCGAGGAGAGTGTTCCGAGATGGGGTCTCCTGCCCGCGGCTTTGGCAGCTCAAAGGTCTCCAGCCTGGGTGCCTGAGGAGGACCAAGGACTTGCCTGGGGTCAGGTTAACCTTCAGGATGGAAGCCAACCTCCCTACGCGTGAAACCCCTCCACCTGGGCTAGTGCTTTTAGCCCTTTCCCTGTGGCTTGAGTCCACTAAGGTGGCATCAGAGGAAATGAGACCGGAGCAGATGAGGATTTGCTGGCTGCGCGGCCTGTAGAAGCAGACTGGGTCCCCCTCCCTCCCACCCCATCACCGCATCCCAGCCCGTCCTCTCTGCTCCCCCGGAGGTGTCCAAACAGCTTCTCCGTCCTGCTCAGGGCTGCTGGGCCTCCCCAGGAGACCAGCAGCGAGACGGAGAGCTAATTACTGTCTTCTCTTCTGCAGGCCCTGGAGCTGTACCAAACTAGGCTTCCCCTTCTGCAAGGACCCCAATCCTCTGCTGGTACCTGGAGGTGGCCCCGGCACGGATCTCCATCTCCCACATTAGCATGGGCCCCCTTCCAAGACATCCTCACCCCTTGTTTCTCCGACCTCTCCCAACACACACCTGTGCTTCCCGTTTCAGGTGAGAGAAATGGGTGGCTGGGTTTCCGCAGGTCTCCTAATCGCAGGAGTTGAGCTGATAGGAAACCAGGCCAGGTCATTCCACCCACGAGGTCATGAGAGCAGGGGACCTCTTGGGAGTTTCCTGGTTTCAAAAGAAACCAGACTGAGGCCTGGGGTGTAGACTTCCTCGGGCACCGTGGTCCACGGAATAAGCCGTCATTCCAGAGAACGGGAACGCCATCAGGAATCAGCCTCGGGAGAATTTCCTGGGCTGCTGTGTCCCAGTCTGAAGGGAAAAGCATAGATCTGAGCCGTGCAGCTGGGTACGGTTCCCCAGCACCCCCCGTCCCAGCCCCATCTGCCCGCATCTCGTTCCCACTGAAATAATCACAGGGTAGGCCCGGCCTGGCTGCGTCGCCACGGCAACTGCCCTAATTTCTTTTAATCCCAGCGTTCCTTCCTAACGGGACCTCCCCCCGCCCTCTCTCCCCCCTGCAACGTGTTTTAATTGTAATAACTCCCGGGTTTTCAGGAGGTAATGACCATGTGTGGGGAGCCTGCGCTGGCCTGGCCCCATCCCCAGAGCTGCCCTCCCAGCGTGAGCTCTGGAGGGACCCAGGGCAGGCTTGGGCAGGGTCTGCCACGGGGGTCTGGGGCTCGGAGCTAATGAACACAAGTCGGGGAGCCTCATCCCTGCGGGGTTGTGTCCTGAGGACATTCTGGGGCGCGCCTCCCCTTACCCCGCATCTGCACGCTCTGCTCACACCTTGAAGGGAATCCACGGACCATTCCTCCGTTCCAGGCCCAGTCAGCCACACTGCGTCAGGGATGTGACCCTGAATGTGTGTTCACAGCACCTGGGGCCTTGTTAGGAGGCAGTTTCCAAGCCTTGGTGATGCCCAAGATCTTGCGTTTCCAGCCACCTCCCCGGGGACGCCCACACCGCCGACACTTTCAATAGCAAGAGTCCAGAGCACCCCTGTGCAACAGAACCTTCTTTGGAGCTGGAGATGCCCCATACGTACGCTGTACTATATATTAACGAGCCGTTATCCACAGGAGGCTACGGAGCAGTTGAAACGCGGCTAGTGCAACTGAGGAATGGAATTTTAGATTGTATTAAACGTTCCTTCCTTTAAATTTAAACCACCACATGGAGGCTAGTGGCTGCCATAGTGGAAACCACAGGAAGTTCCGCTGGTCATTGCAGGTCCAGACCCGGCTTCAGCTGTCTCTGCAAAGGGGCAGCTTCCTGGTCATCCCGCAGCCGGAATCTGCTCCCATCCACCCTGCGCCACGGGGGCCCATCTCCTTCGTTTTGCGCACGCTGTGTTCCTCACTGGTTCCTGTCCTGCTTCAGATGGACTGCTGAGAAGTGAGCAGAAGATCTGATGGCCTGACTTGGAAATAAGGACCTCAGGTCTGCCCAAAGCCCAAGACATCTGCACATGCCCAGCTTTTCTGGGAAGCCTTCCGAGCAAAACTGAGGGGTCCAGGGTCACTGTGGGCTATCAGACGCTGTCCTATGACTGGTCTCTCAATCCTCATAACAGTAAGAGACAGTTCAGGAGGTGATGCAATAATGCTGCAGAAGCCCTTAGTCTACTTTCCTTCCACCAAAGCCCTCCCGGGCCGAGCTTTCCCGTCCGCACGCTGAAATATTAGATGTTCAGCTGCGAGTCCAACAGAAAAATATTTCTGCAATTGTGCATGTGTGTGTTTCTTTTTTTTTTTTCTTCTTCTAATTTAATGTGCCAGACAAGCCTCCCTGTAATTAAAACCAGAAACAAGGACCAGACTTAGACAGAGATTTGAAGGCTGTAAAATTCTAGGACAGGTTTATGTAAAGCAATTAAAAAGGGAGTTAAAAATTGTTAAAAAATTAAACACTTAATTACTTTTTTTTCTCCTCTCATTTCTGCTGAGCTGTTTTGGCTGTGGAGCTCGAAGAAAGATATAAAAAGGAGAAAGTTTTGCCTCATTGCTGTAAATCGTGTTCAGCAAATGCTTCTCTGCGTTTTGCAGCCGAACCCATCTGCTGTCTATTAGCCTAAACCATGCCTTTTCAATTAAACTGGCTTAGGGAAGTCTGGTAGCGAAACGTGTGTGTGTGTGTGTGTGTGTGTGTGTGTGTGTGTGTGTGTGTGT